TCAACGATGAGCAAAATCTTTTCTATACGGAAATTATTTACATTAGCAGATAAACTATCAAAGGGAAGAATTTCACATAGTTTCACCCACAACTTTGAAGATCCACACATGTTTCACCGAAATTATATCACATTCAGTCGCCGAATATCAGAAGGACGGATTAAGTGGACAATGTTTGCAATCAAATAAAATATGGATGATTCCACAATCTATGAAATATTACAGTCAGTGTGCTTGTCAATTCAGTGAAGTTGAATTCGGCCGACTCAATGTGATTACAGTAAACAGTCATCTCCAACATTTTGAGACTGATAGATTCTCTATATTCTTTACGATAACATTCACACCTCGCACCTTATCTGTTGAAATTGTGCTGTTTAACTTGTAAAATACATGTGCAATACATGTACCCACATACAATAATCAGAATCGTGATAAACAATGGTTCATCTCTACTTCTACTGCTCCTATTGATGAAAGCGAAATGGATGAAGTGAAATATTCTCTTACTTTTCAGCATTCGTCAGGTCAGGTGTGATGAACCACATTAAACGCTAAGGATTCTTGGCTGTGTCGTTAGTCTGAAAATGTGTGGCATAATTCTTTGTCAGTACTTACCACAAAGAATATCTGCACGCGAAATACTATGCAATATAAAACCCCTAGGAAGTCTACTGATTACCGTAAAAGGCCTTTAACAGAAATATGGTTCTGAATTACCGATTTATTCCCATTCACATGTCGAAGAAGAGGAATCCGCCATTTTGTCTGAAAATTATCCCTCAAAAATAAGACAGAAATATCAATAGATGGCTCTTGATATCGATTGTCTCCTTCTATTTCAATAAGAACAAGGCCATCTCTCGAGTGGAATCCGAATGAGAAACGGTGAGTTAGGCGTGAGCCTCAGAGTGAAATGCAGGAGATGGTATTAGGAGGAGATAAGGCCTTATAGGCAATCGTAGAGATAATTAAAGAGAACTGCAGGAAATAGGATGAAACTGAGATGTGCACCTGAAGCCCTATGTTCAACTTGCAACCACAGCATAACATATATATATATATATAATAATTGCCAGCTGAATATAATAAGTGGCTATACTCACGATTACCACGCTGTAAAATAATACACTCAGAAACTCAAAACCTATGGTATAAACCTCCATCGATTTAGATATGAGATATGCTCATAAACTCAGTATACTTGTTAAATCCTTTCTATAATTTAATGATTCCCATTGTAGCATTAAGAACACAATATTCACCGGAAACGTACATGGAACGGACAACTAACTAATTTTTATAGTTGGGTGCCTATCTCCAGAAAAAGAAGCCTAATTCATTCGCTGTGCTTAAGTATAAGAAACATTTGTAGTTCTGATTGCGTTGACTCAGAACTTGACTTCCTAAAAGCCACGCTCTCAGAAAACGGTTACCCGAACCGATTTATTGACAGTAACATGAAAGATAAGCAGTCTAAACTGGTCACCGACTCAGTTCCAAAGAAAACCTTATCCACTTACTTGGAATTCAAAGGTGATCAGGCTTCAGATGTGCTCATAAACCGTCTCTCTAATGCAGTCAGTAAGACGCTCTTTGCAGCAAAATTACAAATGACTTTCACCAGTCACAAGTTGTTCTCCATCTCTGTAAAAGATAAGCTCCCCCGTCTGGCCGCCTCCATGTGGATCTATCGTTTCACCTGCTCTTGTGGAGCAAGGTGTATTGGCCGTAGCTAGAGGACGCCTTCCACACGGATACGAGAACATATTCCATCTGCGTGGTTTTACAAGGGAGAGAGGAAGTGTGTGCAAAGCTCTATTCTAGAGCACCTGATCGACTCCTGTCACTCTGCCAACCCTGACCATGATTTTTAGATCATCCGAATCCATGCTAACTTGCCGCGTTCTCTTCGTTATGGACTTCTAAAGATAGCGGAGGCCTTGTCGATTCATGAATTTAAGCCAGACCTTTGTGTACAAAAGAAGTATGTACAATCCCTACTTCTGCCTTGGCCGTAGAGGGATAGACATTTATTTATTTATTTCGTTTATTTAATTATTCTATGTACCTTTCCCTCATTACTAAGATCATCATTATTAATATTCTCACTTAGAATCATTTCCACCTGTCCCACTTGTCATTCTAAATCCAAAAATACTTTTTTACGACATTGAATTCTATCTTATCAAATTTCACACCACATTATGTAACATCTTTTATTAGCCTACTAATCTTATAATTTTACACCCCTTTCCAACATCTATACACCTTATGTATTATTCTATATATGACATTAATTGTTTTGCTACTTGACATTTAACTATGATTATAATCACAAATATTTTAATTGCATTTCATACTATTATTAATTAATGTATTCACACCTTTGATCAAATTCCCTCGCCAGATATAATTTCTTAAAAGCCATATATATATACATTGCACAGCTTGATAATAAATTTGTTGAAAAGAGTCCCTTCACTGAATATTGTGTTCTAAATCCTTTCTAATCTGCAATTTGCCATTCTTTCTTTTGTGTTAAATTTATACTACTCACTAATGTTAGTAGTATGAACAGCTTTTAAATCCTAAACATGACTTTGCTTTTGAACTTTAACTCAATGTATTTATGTTCTGTCTGATGTATGGTAATTAATTCCTCATAGTTGGACATTGTAGATATGTGCTGAAAATTCCACACTGTACCACTAGTACTGTTTCTGGAATAAAGCAAAAATTATTATTATTATCTGCTTGTAAATGCTTTATTTATGTGCCTGTTACTGTGTCTGGCATTCTCCCATTGTTTGAATCTACGTGTGGGTCACCTTTGACACAGCTTTTCTGTTTTTCATTATTGACGCGCATGGACTGTGATTTGACAGCTTTCAGCACAGACACCTCACAATGAGGATGGTATATAATATTTCATATTTTACATTTAAATAGTACCGTATTTTAGACAAATCCTGAGTTTGGGAATTTTACGCGTCACTCAACGTGTGGTTTTAATAATCGTTGGATTATGGTCCCGAATAACTTTTTGAAGAAATACACGTGACTATTCCAATATTCGGTTGATATTTTCGAAAATGGCGTATTAATATAACCATTAGCGGAATTTATTATCATTGTTACCTTTAATTCCTAGAGGAACATAGGGCTTCAGCCGTGCATCTCCATTGCGTTCAATTCTCTTCTAGAGTTTCCACCTGGCTCCAAGTCTGCCCACACGCTTTCATCTCCTCTTCACATGACCTCCTCCAAGTCACCCTCGCACTGACGACCAACTCGCCGCTTCCCTTTCGGGTTCCACTCGAGCAATGGCTTGTCTAGTGATGTCACTTGATGGTTTCCTCAGAGTATGGCCAGCCAATCCATCTCCATTTCTTCCTGCCTATTTGTTTCACAATCGGTTCCTGCTGGGTTGGTTCGCTCATTGCCAGAGATCTCTGTTGCTGATCTTTTCTGGCCGGCCATCTGATCTTGAGTATTGAGCGAAGACAACTGTTAATGAAGGTCTGTAGTTTGTTTGAGATGCTCTTTATGACGCACTGGCCAAGTCTCTGATCCGTATAGTGAGTAGCACTGACTGACTTCACATTGGAGTTGAAAATCCGGATCTTATTTTTGATGCTGAGTGCTGTTGACCTCCACACAGACTTGAGAGTAGTGAAAGCTTGTCTTGCTTTTCCGATTCTTGCTTTGATATCCTCGTCAGTTCCGTCCTGTAGTTGAAACGATGCTTCCCAGGTCGGTAGGTAAAGGAGGTTGTTTCTTTCAGGTTCCTCCCATTTATGCTGATTGTTGTCTGTTGTTGTTGTTGCTGTTGGTGGTGTTGCCCAGGAATCTTCATCACCTCTGTTTTCTCTATGTTCACCTGAAGTCCTATCTTTGATGCTTCTTCTGCCAACTTGTTGCTTTTCGCTTGCATATCTTCCAGTTTGTGGGAAATCAGACATATATCATCGGCGAAGTCCAGATCCTCCAAGTTTTTTGTGTGAGTCCATTTTATGCCTGTTTCCTCATTGCCCGCTGTTTGTCGCATTATCCAATCTACTGCAATAGATAATAAAGTAGGAATACTTTCCCGACGAAATTTAACAAAATCTGACAGTTCCCTCAAATTGCTTGTAACACTAAGCTGTGGCTACAAACTCACACATATGGGGATCACTTGTGAAGTAATTTTAAGAAGTAATGAAAAGAAATTACTGATACAGGAATTTATTGATTTCATGACAAAAGTCAATGTATAGATTTAACCATTTATTTATTCAAGATATCATGAAAGGTCGAAAACTGACACAGTGTCAGCCTTTTTTTATTCCAACTTGTTGAGTGAGAATAGTTCCTCAAGTTTTACAGAATACGATAGCAGATTCCAGGAACAGTGCCACCAACTCAATGAATTCAAGAAAGACGATAAACACCGGCGAAGTGACTGTTTTATCACGAGAATATTTTAACCACACTGTAGACAAGTATATAGCCTGCAATTTCAAAAAAGTCAAAATGTGAATATTTTCCAAAATATTTCAGGTTAGTGTCATAAGTGCTGACGTAGCTAACATTGATTTTCCATGTCAGACTGTCAACAATCTTTTTTTAATTTTTTATTCCTTCACGTCCCCAATGGAACATAGGGCTCCAAGCTAGAGGCTTGAAGTTTCGGTCGCAGTGTTTATTTTTACAGGATGGGGTCGCTAGCCTCATGCCCAACCTTTCCTCTTTACCAGCTTTATTTCTGGCTTAGCGAGGTAAAGGAGTGCGTCAGCCGGGGAGCGAACATCGGACAATACGCATGGTCGGTGAGTGAAATCTTCCTATATGGTTTTACAATGCGTATTTGTGATTCACCTGCTGTAAAATTGGGAAATTACTGAGTTAAGACACTAAACCGACAAAGATGAGATGCGGCAGCAGATGAAACACATAGCTAACACATAGATGAGTTTCAGTATAAACAACTTTAAATACGTTTCATCGGAACTTACAAGAGTTATTGAGCTGTCGAGGAATATTCCAGCTAATATGTCGAATGGAAACTGAAATAAAAAAACGAAGGGTGTGAAGAGCAGTTTGAAAGATTGCATATGGTGTATTTGACAGAAGAAAGATTACTGATGAACATTGCTATGTGACTGTACTTTAGTGTGGTTCTTGATGATAAGCGAGTCATTGGGAAAATGCCATCCTTGATTTATGTGATTTTATCAGGCGACAACACCTCTGATGATAAACTGTTCTCGTCAAGTATTCTTCTAATAGAGACACCTAATTCCTGGTCAAATCTGTAACCAATCAAGTCCCTGCAAATGAACCGTTGAAAGTCAGTGTGATGCTCACTAATGACTGGTTGTCTGTGAAAAGTTCTAGTAAGAATTCGTAACCAGTAATGTCCATCATGTCATGGAAGATAACAGTTTCTTGCGGATGACACTGGCCAGTAGTTGCACTCTGTATACAGCGAATTGGGATTGACTTGAATTCACTAGTTATTAGGTCGTCTCCTGGTGTCTGACTGGTCCACAAGCTTGCCCTGTAACCGAAAGGTTCTGGGTTCCAACTCCTATGGATGAAATACAGCTAGGATACACTGACTTTCGGACAGCCCTTTTCCTAGTGTAGCTAATTTTGACTGAGAAGTGAGGGTTATGTAGCAGCGTTTATTCACAAGGAAGAGTTATGATCATTTAGTCCAGTCGCAAATACAAATATGTGATTGATGCGATCTCTCTCTCTCCACTTATTATCCAGTCACCATCACCACGTCCCTTAATTCAAAATGATTGGTCGCCAGACAATGTATGTCCTCCTACGAAATTCTTCAATGTATTTGTGCATGGTATAATATAAAATAAGGAAAATCAATTGCAAAATTCACACTATAGATAAGCCGCTTACACCATATATTCGAAGAAGAATGTAGAAGACATTTCCAATGATGAATGGTATGATAGGCAGTATGAAGAAGAAGTAATACCCTTTGACTGTAAATCGTCTTGATTTGAAACCAAGTAAAATTGCTGTTCCTCCTGCGACTAATGTTAAAGCGAGCGAAATCAAGCTGTATATTGGGCCAATTTGATAACAGAATATAGAAACAACGACTGTCCACGAAAGGAACTAGAAAGGACAATAACAACAGCATATCAGTAAATTTCACAAATTGTAAGTAGATTGTAACACATGTGATTTATGTGTTCATATCACACTGATCACATTTATTCACTTCATGATGTTTCATTACTGGCAGAGTTTCTGAGATCATCACTTATTTATAAACAAATGACGTCGGGTATTTGTCATCAGATTCATATTTGATTGGGAAATTGACGTGAAGTCTGTTTTCAGGTCAGTAAGCAAGTGATATGAACTGAAACTCATGAATTTCAATTCATGATTATTTATCAGTGTGTTAGTAAACTTGAGATGTTATTTTTTGCATTGTCAGGTGTTGTTTCCATCCATCTCTTTATTATCAAAGGGTCATGTGAATGTTTATCGTTGACTCAGTGCAGTTTCTTCATTAAAGGCATTTTGGTCCATTATAGGACAATGTCATCATCCTGGAGAGAATAAACAATGCACTGGATACAGAACTCCGCCAGCCGCAACAAGCTGGATTCAGAAAAGGCGAATCATGTGCTGATCAAATTTCAACTCTATGCATCGTCATCACAGAACAAAACATAGAATGGCAGTCAAATCTCTACGTCAACAAATTCATCGACTTCGAAAAGACAACGGCTTCGACAGACAGCATTGACCGAGAAGTAATTCGGAAACTACTTCAACACTACGGCTTACCTCAAGTCTTTGTCAACCTCATTCAACAGCTGGCTATATGACAATGCCACGTGCCAATTGATCCACAACGGAAAATTCAGCGAGGTGTTCGAAGTGCATACAGGAGTAAGACAAGGCTGGCTGCCTATTATCACCGATGATATGCCTAATTGTGGTGGACTAGATTATGCGTCAGACTGTTGGGGAAATACGCTGGACGACCGATAAGAAGACTCTACAAGATCTGGATTTCGCAGATGATATATGTCTAATGTCTCACAAACTCGAAGACTTGCAGGCGAAAACCAACAAAATGGCTGAAGAAGGAGGCAGCAAAAACAGGACTCCAAGTGAACATAGAGAAGAGGGAGGTGATGAATATAACAAATCAACAGCAACAACAACCAGCACCAATCACCATCAACGGGAGAGATTTAACAGAGGTAAACTCCTTCACTTATCTGGGAAGCATAGTTTCAACTACAGGCCGGTGGAACGGATGATGTCAAAGCCAGTCAGAATCGGAAAGGCAAGATACGCCTCCATCAACTTGAAACCAGTTTGGAAATCTTCTGCACTCCGCCTCAGCATAAAGAACAAGATTCGCATTTTCAACACCAATGTGAAGTCGGTTCTTCTATACGGGTCAGAAACTTGACCAGCGTGTCACTAGAAGGATTTCCAACAGGTCGCAGACTTTCACCAACAGCTGCCCACTTTGCTGGCTGGCTACATACTGAAGATCAAATGAACAGAAAGAATAAGCAACAAGAAACTCTGGTTGGGAACAAACCAACAAGCAAGAGCCGATCGCTCAACAAATATGTAGGAGAAAGTGGAGATGGATTGGGCATCATTAGGAGGCCGCCGAATGACATCTCGCGCAATGCAGGCCATAGCTCGAGTGGAATCCAAATGGGAAGCGACGAGTGGGTTGTCGGCACGAGGCTGACATGGAGGAGATCGTGTGTGGAAGAGATGGAAGAGTTTGGTCAATCGTGGACCCAGTTGAAGAGGACGGAGCACAGAAAACAGAACAAAGTGAAGATGTGTTGTTGAAGCCTTATGTTCCACTTGGAACGCATGGGAATAACAATAATAATAATAGGACATAGAGTTCTTAATATTGATCTCATCACGATTCTTGTTTACGCGTGGTTTATGTAGTGATGCATGTCAATCTAATGCGTCAAATTTCCCACTGACTTCCAACTCCCAAGATGATTTACCTTTACTGTGATCAGTGTTGTCTCTTTACCTGATCATTTCTTCAATGCTGACTGCTAAGTTGATTACTAATTCGAATCAGAGAAGGTTAACATGAGTGTTTCTAATAATTGAGGGAATTTTTCACCTGACACTGAATATGATGACTTCCAGTCTATTCACAATTCCATGCCAAAGATGGTGAGATTGTTTAGTTTAGTTAGTTAAATTTGATCCATATATGTGAGGTGAGAAATGAAAATCATTTAATGAAAGAATTTATTATGCAAGAAAACATTTTCTACATTCTCAACTTACTGCTAATACTACTGAAAAGATATAAATTCCAAAATGCATCCGTAATCTCCGGGAAAGCAATATGGACATGGTCATGATGCCACCAATGATGCTGAAGAGAATTGTGATGGAAAATAATTTGAGTGTTTACATCAGCACCAATCTGAAATTACTTTGTGATAGGAATAATATATATACGCTTTTCACTTATCATTAAAGTCGACTCAGTCAGTGTGACATAATCCGTCGGTCGACAGTTAAGAATGTTCTTGAACACAGTTATAACAACCTATAGAGAATCAGTTTTATTTCGTTGATGTCTTATCAACTGCTTGCAGCCTGAATAATGAAACTTAGCAGTTTTACTACAGTTCATTGAAGATAAAATGCTGAATAGTAATTAAGAATGATCATGGCATATAATAATGAATCGAAATTTTAAGTTAGGAAAATATGAAAACATCGCCGTTCATATGTATGTAGTGTGTTCGAAGTTTCTAGTATAAGACAAAAGATGAGCAGTAAGAGTAACAAGAAGATATTGCGGTACATGAAATATACTTCCATTATGGGTAAAATTTATTTTGATAAAGTCTCACAGTGTTATACAGTAATATTTACTGATGATGACGTTTCGAGCACAATTTATTGCTCATAATCATATCAAGGTACTCACACAACTTTCTAACTTCGTTTATATAATTCCATTATTTTTCATCGCTTGATTTGATTGGTAGTAGTATTTTCCATATTTCCGGTATGAGTGATGATTCATTCCTATTGCACGTGTTGGGTGTAGACTCGATGAACAAGGATTCAGTAATCAACCTCTCTCTCCACCTACCTAGATTACTTTTTAGAATTTTAACCCTCTCCCACCCACCCTATTGTGTGGTTGTGTGTTAATGCATGCAGTGCGATCGCTGTTTTTTTCTAAATTACTTATCTTCTCGGGGTCAACCATTCTTACCTTAGCTAAATTCTTATATTCCGACAATCTGCTACCCCCAACCTTATATCAGTGATACATGAAATATAAGATTACGTAATTCACTAGAAAATTACCAATAAACGAAGCAAATAGGAAAAATGATAGTCATGAATTAAACTCATTCAGTCAGATATAAGACACATTAAATGTGGCTTTTGATTGATGAAGATGTAACGGAAAAAGAACAGAAGGAAATCAACGTTTGCATTAATTAGAAGATGTTTTAATGAATTGACGAGGAAATCTGATCTAGGTAGATCAAGATAGAAATGGATTAATTGCAGTTTCTTTTTGGATAGATAATTCCGATTGTGACAGTTTCATAACAATGGTCTCTGTGCCTCCAAGTAGCTTGAAATTGTTTGTTTCTTTACTGTTGTAAAAGAAGAAGATTCAAGATGTCCACCTGATGTCCTGTTTCAATTAGATGTCCTGTGAGTGCATTTCTCAAGAAGGTTACTTGCTTTCAACCAAAGAATTATCAGTATGTGTTCGGAAAATTTTAGATAGGCCTTTCCTTGTGTTTATTCAATACATCTGCCTTATCAGTTACACGTCAACTAATACACATAGCTTGAACTAACAAAGGAAATGCATCTGTCAACTTTTGACTGAAAAAAGAAAATGCTGTCGATATCCAATCTACCACTAGAAGAGCCTAAAATTCTACAAAAACATGCGTTTCTCATCAACGTCTACTACGCACCATTCTGCAGATAGACTACTGAACTAAAATCTTTTTAAGTAGAAGCTAAGTACGTCGACGGATAACTTATTAAGCAAAACTTCACTTTTAAGCTCCAGAGCAGTATAACCGAATATGCTCTAATTTCAAGCACTGAATATTATATGAAAGTTTGAGCCTATAACAATTCAATAATTCTGCAGTCGTTGAAGTGGCACAGTCAGTTTGTCTATCAGTGAAAAGTTACCACTGATTTGTGACTAGCGGTTTTGCAATATACGTTGCAGTAAAATCCCAGTCAAACTCTCTCCTTATCCGTTGAAAGTTTGACATCTGATGGATAAATCCAGGGAGAAACATATTATTATTCACGACTTACCAAAATACAACAGCCGCTAATAAGTGCGGCCGAATTTTATCAAAAATGCTGCTGTTGTTGTTGCTGCTGCTGGTGCTGGAAGTGAAATGAATGAAGTGAAATATTGTCCTACATTCCAGCCTTCAATAGGTCAAATATTGTTAACCACTGCATCGATGAACAACTGCTGCTTGTGTATTGTTAGTCTGAAAATGAATGAATAAATTCAACTTTTCTGAAGCATAATTATTTCTGTCTACATCCAGAAAAGAATGCTAACACTCGAACCACAATTAAATGTAAAAAATCTGACATGTGAACATCTTACCCAACACAAAATTATTTTACTGATCATCAGAGCGAAACTTTGACGGAAATCATGGGAAAGGAATGTGTCATTGGATGTTACGGATTTGTCGATAATGCGACAAACAGCGGCGGGCAGCGAGGAAACAGACATAAAATGGACTGATACAAAAAACTTGGAGGATCTGGACTTCATCGATGATATATGTCTGATTTCCCACAAACTGGAAAATATGCAAGCGAAAAGCAACAAGTTGGCAGAAGAAGCATCAAAAATAGGACTTCACTTCAGGTGAACACAGGGAAAACAGAGGTGATGAAGATTCCTGGGCAACACCACCAACAGCAACAACAACAACAGACAACAATCAGCCAGCATAAATGGGAGGAACCTGAAAGAAACAACCTCCTTTACCTACCGACCTAGGAAGCATCGTTTCAACTTCAGGCACACGGAACTGACGAGGATATCAAAGCAAGAATCGGAAAAGTAAGACAAGCTTTCACTACTCTCAAGTCAGTGTGGAGATCAACAGCACTCAGCATCAAAAATAAGATCAGGATTTTCAACTCCAATGTGAAGCCAGTCAGTGCTACTCACTATACGGATCAGAGACTTGGCCAGTGCGTCATGAAGAGCATCTCAAGCAAACTACAGACCTTCATTAACAGTTGTCCTCGCTCAATACTCAAGATCAGATGGCCAGCCAGAACAGATCAGCAACAGAGAGGGATCTCTGGCGATGAGCGAACCAACTCAGCAGGAACCGATTGTGAAAGAAATAGTCAGGAAGAAATGGAGATGGATTGGCTGGCCATACTCTGAGTAAACCAGCAAGTGACATCACTAGACAAGACATCGCTCGAGTGGAACCCGAAAGGGAATCGGCTAGTTGTTCGTCAGTGCAAGGGTGGCTTGAAGGAGGTCGTGTGAAGAGGAGATGAGAGCGTGTAGGCAGACATGGAGCCAGGTGAAGACTCTAGGAGAGAACCGAATGCAATGGAGACGCACTGCTGAAGCCCTATGTTCCTCTAGGAATTAAAGGAAACAATGATAACTATAATAATATGATTTTGATCTCAAAGCTACTACTTTACTGGGAACTAGAAGTATTCCTATATGTAATTCATCAAAACAAGTATTTACCAATATTTTTTGCAAAGTAGTTGTTCGACTACATTTCATGACTCCATTTACCACTGCCTTTTTGTGAAATTAATCCTATTTAGTTTACTAATCAATTCTAAACCTGGAATAAGAGGGAAGGTTGGGTGTAGGACTAGTGACCCTATCCGGAAAGATCAAGCTTATCGCTACGCGGATACATAAACGCATAGCCAAAATATAAAAAAATGAATTTATTGTTCACCGGAGTCGGTGAGATGGAATGACGCAGGTTAGTGAAAGCTTCTGCAAAGCCAATTAGCCAATATGTCTTCAAGCAATGAAGGCAAAAGTAAGCATAGTGACATGGATTGTCTGAAGGATGTTAGGAACTGGCTGAGAAGGCTGCTCAAATTAGGAATACAATGAGAAGATATGACATAGAAGTGCTAGGAATCTGTGAGGGCAGGTGGAGAGACAATAATCTACTCCTGTCTCCCAAATAACAATCACGAGCATACCAAGGAAGGGCTTATCACGATGTCACTAACAGCACTGAAAGCTCTTATGCAGTAGCAACCAATATCCTGCTTCAAGATATTAACAACAAGATTCGTTCCCAAATGGAAGAAAGTTACAATTATTCGATTCTACACACCCATGAACAACACAGATTAAGAGAAGAAGGAAGGTTTTTTCATGGACAACAGCAAACAGTAATAGACATCACAACACATGGAGACATTAAATTTCTAACAAGAGATAAGAATGATGGTCAAGGTGGGGGCAAACGACACAGGAAGAAAACTCACAATAGGTCGGTAGGCTCTCGTCGAAATGAATGAGAATGGAGAACTCTTCGAAGACTTCCGTGCCTTGACCGTTTCGTGTACTGGAGGTAGCGCGTACAGGCACAAGGATATATATATGTTTGAACAGCTTAAAGCATCTGGTTCAACTATCCCCGTTTATATGGTCTTCCAAAGGTGCACAAAGATGATGTCCCTCTGAGACCTGTATTGGATATGCTGAATTCACCGTATCACCCTACCGCTAAATGACTTGCGGAAATTCTGGAACCAGTGAGATTAAATCTATGTAAACATAGTCTTTCGGGCACTTTTGGCTTTGTCAGTTGTGTTGATGAAATTAATGTGTCTAGTAAGCATACGATTTCGCTAGATGTTTGTTCTTTGTTCACAAATGTACCACTAGTAGACACCATCTGCTATCTTTGTGAGTATATTGATTCAAATAGCATGGACATTGGGTTACCAACTGAAGATCTTAAACAACTATTACAGAGATGCACACTGAATGTGCAATTTAGATTTAATGATGTCATCTACAATAGAAGGGATGGAGTCGCAATGGGGTCTCCTTTAGGACCGCTCTTAGCGGACGTCTTCATGGCTAGCTTAGAGAATGGCCCACTAGAGGAAACCATCGGTAGTTTGTCTATGTTTAAAAGATATATAGATGACACTTTCATTGTATGTGACGAAAACTCATCAACTGCTGAACTTCTTGGAATATTTAATGGTTCTTACCCGTCTGGCATTCAAAGGTGACACCATTTCGGAATTGATTAAAAATCGTTTATCTAAATGTATTAAACGTACTTTTCCTGCAGCTGACTTACAACTAGTTTTTACCAGCCGAAATAT